AAAATTGAAGTGTAGGAAATGAAAGCACTAAAACTCAACTTTATTTTGATAAACGAAATGCAAAGACGGATCCAGGGCCTGCGGGTCAACCCCCCCCCCCCCCCTCTTCCCCAGTTTGAAAATATTTGTATATAAGACTTTTATGTTCATTTCCCTAAAATCAAGAAAAAAACAAATTATTTGTAAGAAATTATCAGCTACAGGGGCCTTAGCTCCTCGTACCCCAAAAAGGACCTTGTCTTAGACCCACTGGGGGTATCATTTAAGCCAAATGCAAGACCCTCTTGCCTTCTACTGCCCCCCCCCCCCCGGTTACAAAATTCCTGGATTCTCCAATGAAAAAGGACAGAGGTTGATTAATATTGTTTTTTAATTGACATAAGGACAGGGAATTTGTATGCATCAAGTGAACAAAGCCTTAATATAGGGACAATCAAGATATCGAGTTGAAGGTAGGACAAAACACCCGTGGATTCTATTTTTTAACCATTTCTTAAAAGTACCGAAGGAAAGAAGAATAATATTACTATATTGACAACTATGAATGATCCCTGTAAAAAAACTTATGAGTTTTGGCGTGTTTGCGTCATATTTTGTGAAAAAATCAGAGAATTCTTTATGTTTGTCACTTGGGGGCTTACATTTTGGAATGTTTTTATGCTAACTAAGTGTAATAAACAAGCAAGTGACAGTCTGTTATAAAATGCAGTGTAACTTTTGCTCCATACATAGTACAGGAATGATATTTGGATACATATATAAGGAGTCTCCATTCTTTATGTACTACTAAGGTCAAGGTCATTTCAAGAGGTCAAAGGTCAAATATTGTGACGTCATCTACTGAATCTTTTAGTTTTTTTTGCCATTAATTTTTTTTAATCGCATAAATTTCTGAAACCTCCGGTTCAATTTTCTTTTTTTTTACACATCTTATTCTAGGACCCATTTAAATCATTCTGTTGATTTTTTATAAAAATTGAATTTTACATTTTCTCTTAAGAAAACTTAAACTGTCAATTAATGACATGTGAATTTTCAATTTCGACGCTACGTATGTTCTTTTTTTACTTTATATTTTACTCAAATTTTCCAGTATCAAGTTGACTTACTATCTTAAAGCAACAAAAAGGATATCATTATTAAAAACATTAAACAAATTTGCCATAGATAAATTGATAATTCTAAAATAAGGCTCATTCCCACGTCTAACGTCTGATTATAAAATCTTCTTACAGGGGTCTGATAGGCCATATTTCAGACAATGTGGGCAAAAAATGTGCGGTTGAATTTCTTTCATCTCATATATAAGAAGAGATTTTGTATCCTAGAACAAAATAACAAAGTTTCAGGAAAATTGAATTTGAGGAAAAATTTCTATTGTGTCCTACCTTAAAGGTACTTGAACACAGATTTGAAATTAATATTTTCTCTATAATATTACAACTTATATATACTGAACAAAAAAGAAACGCATATTGTTTTACTCGTCAAAGATTTTTTTTTAAATGTACATGGAACAAATATTTTTTATATCATTGGATACCTGTGACCTATTTAAAGGACAACATGAGGTTTTAAAACCCAAATGTTGAATTATCTCCCTTGATTAAACATGTTTATGAAAGTAGTAATTTTCATGATTTCTTCTAAATCGGATGTCTATTTTGGTTGATGTTTTGGATTTAGAGAAACTATTGACACTCCTATTAAACCCATATTTAGGATTTGATTGCAGGGTTGATGCTGCAATTCCACGCCGAAACAAAGATAAACACAAACAGGCTAACGATGATATTAAACGAAGCTACGCAACAGGAAGTTGCAACTGTATTTGAAGTAAATCATTGGGCTTAGCAACCGTTAAACTAACGACTGAAGACCATTATCTGCAGGTAACCACAACCAGGCAGGACCGTCAGACACCCCACCCCCCTTCAGCACCTGAAGCGATTCATAACTTGCTGTAAATCTGCTGCTACAATTGCTGGATGAAAAATTCAGCATAAAAGTGCATAAATTGGTCGCAAAAGACTGAAAAGAGATGGTATTCCTCCACGATATCCGTACATTGGAAACTAACTAGCATTGAGACGTCGCACAGTGCATATTGTTATGCCCCTTGAATTTGGGGGCGATGAAAATAGCATCAACTTGACTTTTCTATTTGCAACATAGGAAATGTTTGATTTTTATCACAACACACTATAAAATCACTTAAATAAAATAAGGTTTAAACTTGAAACGTAGATTTTCATATTATTCTGAATATGCGTTTCTTTTTTTGTTGAGTATATTTTAATAGCATTTCACACAAAAATTAATCAAAAATCTTATTTCATTTAAAATTTATTAAAACTTTAAATTTTTTAGCAGTTTTGATTGACACATCCTTGCACTTTCACATATTTTAATTTTATTCTTAATCCTTAGGAAAAGTGGCAATCCTGATGTGTATTAATGAAAAAATATTAATACTTTAATTCAGAAAATTCAGAGTAGACAAGTACTAAAGCAAAACAAACACACAATATATTGTCAGTCCGTGCAGATGTGGTGAACAGACTTTGGCGATTTAACGCACCCGATGACTTGTAAACACCAAACAATAACATGTTTACAAAAACCTGTGTACATAACACGAGTGTGATCGATTCGCGAAACTCTGTACACAACGGAATGACGATACGTGTGAAGTAGTTCTGCTTTCTAACATTTCTACTCTGAATAAAATTATTCTTCTTGATTTAAGTTTTAATATTTCTCATTAATACACATTAAGATTGCCACTTTTCCTATGGATGAAGAATACGTTAAAATTTGTGAAAGTGCAAGGATGTGTCAATCAAACCCGCCAAAAAAAATTAAGTTTTAATATTTTTTAAATGAAAGAAGATTTTTAATTAATTTTAATTGTGTGAAATGCTATTAAAATATATAATTCGTGATATTATACAGAAAAAATGAGAAAATATTAACTTCAAATCTGTGTCCAAGTACCTTTAAAGTAGACGATTAACAAAAACTCAAAAGACAGCTTCATTCACAATTTGTTCAGCATAAAAGTTCATGTTCTCTAATATCAGAGATGTCTCTGCTTAAATAATAATAATAACTAGATGAGATCTCGTTGCGAGCAACGAGTAGGTCTTCCGTCCGATTTTTCGATAAGATATAATTTTGACAATGATCTTTGTTAAATCATAATGATATCAAGACGTCTCTCCTTTGATTAAATTCTTTTATGTTCTATATATTGCATATTTAGAATGGTTGTATAATGTTTAAAAGACAACACTGAACATCTTTTACTCGATACTGCTTATCAAAATATTTCCCCTTTTGGAGATATAAAGAATCCAAGAATGAGCATTTTGGTCCCCAATGACACCTTATTACGTAACATATTATCACGATTTTACAATGCATTGATGCAGTTTGTTATGATAAACATTCTCGTTTCAGTTATTTATAACAAAAAATTGATAAATAAAGAGTTATAGATGAGAGAATTTTGGCCCCTGTTTGCCCTTTATTTGAGGGGTCACACCCCTTTTCTTTATATCAAATGATAGAAAATCTAATTCTGAACAACTTTTATTATCTATCTTTTAACACATTATTGATAGATATCAAGATATCAGAGAAAACGTGTTAAATTTTGCGAGATATTTCCGAGCCTATTTTTCTGTTCAGGCGAGCTTCAACGCCTTTTGCGCTGAAAAAATATAGACTCAAAAAAGCAATTCAGCAATCCTTCCTCTACCTTCACTGAAAATCTCAAGTCAATATCTTCATTCGTTTTTCAGTGATTGCCAGGACAAGCCGACCCTCTAAAAATCAGTAAATCGTCCATATCTCACGACCGGAAGTGACGACGTACATATAAAAAATTTCCAATAAGGTTCAGACCAATTTCTATCAGATCTAAAAGTTTCGTGCAAAAAAAATCGACCAAGGCGTTTCCGAGAACTCGCTTGCACAAAATCGGTAAGAAAAAAAAATAATAATAGGGAAAAAGAAACCGAACGAAAACAATAAGGTCTTCCGTTGGAGACTGAAGACCTTAATAATTAGGGATGTCGATAAAATATGAAAATTGCCCATCTATAAAATGCAAGACGTCCCGACCGATATGCACGTATTCAAAAATGTTCCATTTTCCTAGTGTTTGATAAGAACACAATACCACAATACATGACGTACATCCTTTTAAAATTCATTGGGCGAGGAGCAAAGGAATAAATGTAACTTTCTTTATACGTAATGTATCAGAGGCATTTTTTTATGTCAGTTTCTTAGCAATGATGCGACATTTAAAATATTGTATTCCAACATATATTGTATATATGTTTGTTCTTTGTTGTTGACTATTATTAGATGATAAATAATTGTATTATGTTTGTACTTTTTTGCATCATGTATGGCCTTGAGTGAAAAGAAAAATCAAATTTTCAAATACAAATTACCATCATATTTTTGAGCACTTCATAACCAATTAGTCGATGACGCAAATGCAGCAACATATAGAGGTAGTTCCCAATCAATCCACTCGGATGACTTCATATTATAAGATTAAAAATTGAGAGATTATTTTACATTCACAAAACTGTACCCTTCGGACTTATTATTCATTACACCTATTTGAAAAGTTCATCAGTTCCGTTCGTCAGTAGATACTCATGAAACATTTTCTGTCACTTATACCACATTCACATTTTTAACGATTCAGTGTTAATCTGGCGTTCTACCTCGCAGGAATTTTAGGATACATTACTGACTAGAGATAAATCTTAAAATAACATCTGCGCACGACTATAATCACTTTTTGAGGGTTGGAACTCGATTCTGCCAAAGTCGTTAAAAGAAAAAGATGAAAGATGAAATTGTCAGTCTTTCGTTAAGAAGAAAAATGACTTCTAGTACAAAATATCTGACATTTCTTTTGCATTAAGTAAAATAAAGATTACAAGTACCTTTAAATTTATCTTCGCTCTTATTCATCAAAGGAACAATTTCTCTTTCTTCATCTGAAAAAGTTGTAATGATATTCTTGAGCACCATATACAATACTGTACTAGTACCGAAATCCAACAATTGAATTTTTACATTAACATACATGTACATGTACCTCGTTTTCCTTTTCTTTTTTTATTCAAGTATATCAAGTATATAAAGAAAAGGATAGCAAGTATCGTAAATAATGCTATAGTAAAGGCAGCAATTGCTCCTGCAGGAATTTGTCCAGTTTCTGTTATTTCAGTTGCATTTGAAAAACCAGGTGTTGTTGTAGAGTCATTCATTGCATTAGAGGCCACAAATGTACTGTTTCTTGTTGTTATCTTTTGATCTCTATCAAAATTTAAAAAAAAAACGTTCGTTAAGAGATGGATCTCTTTTATTATCATGTACTATTTCAAATGTTTGATATAAGAATTTTTGAGCTCCCTTAAAAGCTTTCGTTCTTCTTACATCTTGGGACATTTCGGATCCGCATAAAAACACCGCTCTTTTCTGTTTATGTGATGACATGCTGGATCTATTTAGATATATAAATATACATATAAATAAAATGAATCAGAATCGTCACTATAAGAAGATACTTCGATTTTGCATGAAAGAAAAGTAAGAGGGATGGGCATAATTGTCTCCCACTGAAAATTGAGGATAAAAACTTTGGTATGTGGGTCCGTCTAGCTGTCCATCTGTCTGTGCTTAAGTCTGTCTGTATCACGTTCGTCTTCACGCGATATCTCGAGAAGTCTTTAAGCTTTTTAAGTGAAATTTTACACAACTCCCTTGGAATGCAAAAAATCCCTGTGGATTTTCAAGTCAAGAGGACATGGTAAAAAATTCAAAAATTGTTTTAACACTTTTTAACACATATCAGGCGATATCTTAAAAGTCTTTGAGTTTTTGCTATCATATATTATGATATTGTATGCATGTACCTCATTTTTTTAAGACCTTTGAAAGACCCCTATTGATTTTGAGGCAAGAGGCTTAAATATCAAGGTCATTAAATAATATCTATTGTTTGTGTGAAAACTTACGTTTCAGGACGTTATTTCAAAACGCTTTTGAGTATTTGCATTTAGTATTGATACTGTAACACCCTATAGCCCGCCTGTTCTTCTTAAAGTGCCCCCTCCCTAGATACAAGTTTGATTTCTTTTTTCCTAAGGAGGGGGGTACGGATCCCCTGATTTTTCTTGTTAGAACATAAAACAACAGTACACGTTCATTTTCTTTATAATGTACCCACACTGAAAGAGATCAGAACTCTTGAAGTGTGTTGTTGGACAGCCCTCTGTGAAGCTACGGCAGCTGATGATGTCTACAATTCCTTCATCATTTACTACCAAACATGAACCTGTTTTGAGAAAAAAAAATAGACACTATAAGATAAATGGAATATTTATGTCAGTTTCTGTATCTGTAAATTACTAGCATAAACATCTTTTTTTTCATTATTGATACAAAATTTAATACATTTGAATCATATTTTATGAAGTAATTTCAAAAGTAAACTTTCAGGAAATACATGCAACAAGCACATGATTTCCGGCAACGTGTGGAAGTGGTATGTCTCTCGCTTAACATGTAAGAGGTCCCGGGCTCGAATTCCGGAAGAACTATTTTCTTTTCTTAAATACTTTTTTTCTTTACTAAATGACAGTATTCAGCACGTGAAATGTAAAAGTTAAGACGTTTGGCCCATACAAACTCATCAAATCATCATACAGCAAAATAAATATTCTATATAAATGAATTTTAAATTTTACATAAAATATTTTATGTACATTGGAATGCTCTGCGTGTAAGAGTTATCGCGCTTGCCATATCGTTGGAAAGTTTTTGCCGTGTCCAAATTAGGAGAAGCAGATGCAAGCGATTCTTGGAAATGAAAACATTTAGTAAACGCCCAATGAAAATCGTGCGCGGTAAAAATCACAACCCGGTCGTCCAGCGTCATTTTTCAGTTTCTTTTAGGACGCCGTGAAAAGTACATGTGTGTTGGATAGCTTCAAATTATTTTAAGCAGTAAGGAAATGCATTTTTTTTCTTCATGCAATTTTATTGTTTTTATTGATCTTACAATCTTTCAAAGCTGAAAAGCTTTATATTTTGCGGTGTTATCGATATAAATGATTGCTATCCAATGTTATTGTTATTTAGTATACTACATGTTTTTGCATATGGGGATTACTTGGTGTTGTAGAAAAATTTTAAAAAAGAAAATTGCCAAATTATCGCTAATATAGTGGCGACGGTAAGCCTGACTGTAGTAAACATAAATGTTATGGTTTTCATTCTTAAATAATTATAAAAATGTTACTTATATTGCTTTCATTAACATTGACTGAGTGAAATTTAATTAAGCAAGAAAGAATTTCTATTAGAAGGCGTCCATTTTTAATTATCTTAGTTGAAGCCTCCGTTGCCAGTACGTATGTGTACACGTATGACCACGTATGTGTTACATGTTACATTGATTCTTCTATTAATTGTTGCTCACACAGCGGAAAATACATGGGGTTTATGAAATGTAAAAATCACATTTGCAGTCAAGGCAGAGAAAAGAATGCATATAAATAATACAACAGTCTGTGTAACCAAAATTTCATAACGCGCACTACTCAATTTGTCTGCACACATCGTTGCAATTTTTAAACTATATCTTTAAAAAAAATAATGATTCATTGCTTAGATATACATATACAACACGAACCTGGGTTTTGAAGTCCCACAATGCCTTTGTAGCAGTACTCCACAATGGCTGTCTTCTTAAAGTTAGGAACACAGACGTACTGACTATTCCCAAATTTGTCCACACCACATTTGAGTCTGGAAGATGCCTCATTTTGACCCGTTTTGTTAACAGGACACGATCCCACAGCATATCCGAAGTCAAGGTACTCCATACCTGGTTATAAATAAAGTAATTATTTGATTAACTTGATGATTGCATGTAAAAAAAAAAGTAAAAAAAATGAAGTTACAGTGTACGGCAAAGACTAAAAATTATTTAAAGATGCATAAAAAGTTAAGATCAAGATCATGATTCACATATCATAATTCAGCATCATGGACCTTGTCTCAAGTGAAAACTATAAAGACACAAAAGCCCTATCTCCCTCTTTAGGAGCAAACATAAAATTTTAGATAAGTCATTACAGAGTAAGTAAAAAAAATGAAAGAGTTTTCTGAAAATTGTTGTTATTGGTTTTATAGATGAAAATTAAGGGTATCCATTTTTTCTTATTATAAAATAATTTCAAATGTAAAAAAGAGACTATAAGATAAACGCCAAGAAATATAGCACATGTCATCTACATAGAAATGCCCCAAGTTTTCCTCTTAAATAGATTGATTATATATTGTTTATAGTCAATCTACAGAATTGTGTGTTCATATGGAGATGCCACCTCTTACCCGTTGATGGCTGCAAATTTTGTCCTATTATCGTAACTAAGGGCCATAAAGCAGGGAAGGATATTTCTCGTGATAGTACCTACTAAGACATGTTAGGTACTGGTGCCCTCAAGTGCGATCAGTTGCCATGGGAGAGTAAGCTTCCCCTGCCGCTAGGTCACAACCATCTTGTATCAATCCGTAGATTATTCAGCGTGTAAACAGGCTAATTCACTTTCAACGAAAAAAAGAAGCAAATGTGTTGACCTGGGGGGTTGAGGAGGGTCGGGCACTTTAAGAAGGACGGGAGAAACTAAAGTGAGTTACATGTTTTGTAAAATTTAATTGCGAAAACGCAGAAAGCTTCTTGAGATATCGCAAGGAAATGAAAGTTTTACACACACAAAATGTATGAACATATAACCTTGTCCTTTGACCTTTTGACGTCAAAGTAAATATGGGTTTCAAAGCCCATAGCGAGTTATGGTATAAAATGTCATTGCAAATGCTCAAAAGATTCTTTTTGTTGGTTAATTGTGTGACTTTGCCACACTTAAAAACAACATACGTTAAGGTAAGCTCTGTAATCTCTGATTACGTATGTTTGTTCATTTGTGTTGTCTGTAAACATTATCACATGACACTATCAGCTTCATCCTTGAAACCGCATAATAAATTTCAATTAATTTTGGGATATGGCATCTACATGAAGGGGCGGAGGGGAACAAATATTTTGGAATTTACGACTTTTATTTTATGAATTCTTACTCTCTGCGACCTAAGGGGTTGGGCTAAATGCAAGTGTAATAGGAAATAGAGGTGACTCAGGTGAGCATTGTGGACCATGTTCCCTTTTATATAATGTTGAAATCGATCAGAATTTCATTTAGGACATCATAAACATCACAATAATGCCCTTTTGTACAAGATCTTAGATGAAAATTTATTATTTTATCAAAATGCGTTCTTCAGATATTGTAAATATACCTAAGAAATATACCTACCTATAGCTAAGAAAACGGACAACACAACTAAGTCGGAGCCATAAAATCAATGTGTCAGGAAAAGGGGGAAAAGTGGTTTCTTATTTACACCAAAGATTGTGTTTAGAAATTGACAAGTTGAGAATTTTTGACCATTTTCAATCTTCAATATCTGGAGAATGGCATGCAATCGACACACTGCTCTTATGTCAGTGATACACCCTGACAGGGACTCCTGGAAACTGCAAAGAGTGTGCAGAAATACTTTCTCTATCCAATGATATTAATAACTAAACATATGGAAAATCTACAAAAGTCTTAGACAGTTTGAAACCGGGATTGGACAAGTCAAAGTTGTCAGATCTCGACACCCTGCAGATTGCCGAAAAGGTCTCAGCAGGATCTGTTCAAGTGCCCCCCAAAACCGGTTATGCTCGGAGAGGAGGTAAATTTGCGTTCCGCGCTAAGTTCTTTTTCCGGGCGATTGTGCGAAAACGGTGAGAGATAGAGGCCCTAAACTCAGTACATAAAAGGTTAATAAATTTTAAATGTGAAAAAAATTAATCTGCAATTGATTGATGTACTTGAACCTTTCAACCAGGCAATGGATATGTTATCAAGTGGAGATTACCCTCCTTTAAAGTGCCAGGTTTCTCAGAAATTGGACCAGTTGCAATACTTTTTACAGTACACAAGTTTTATATACGCCAGCATGCTTGGCAATTGAGCTTGTTTGTGAGAACATTGCACAATGCCAAGGTAGAGATTTGATGCATCAAGTTTTTTGACAGCATTCCAAAGGAAAAACCAAACAAAGCGATGGAATTACCGTACAAAGTTATTTCTGATTACATGAAGGCAGAGGATCATACTACCAAAGTGCAGAATTTATCAATAATTGTAGGACAATATACCAAATCAGAACTTTTGTCTATTATTGACGAGTTAACTCGAAACAAGATTGATGCCATGGACCAGGGTATACGTAGTACATTAGGCCACCAAAAAATCACAAGAATACGTATTCCAAAGAAGAAGATACATCACTTCTTTCAGTTTATTTCATTTCCAGCTTGCATGGAAGTTGTTGGATTTGGATCAAGACACTTGAAATTATCATCAGGACTAAGTGTAAAAATTCCAAAAGTGATACAACTATGATAGCTTCTCGACTCACCATCGCATATGATACCTATTGCAAAGAAAACTCAATCATTCGTTCATCAAGAACAACCCTCTATAAATCATCAAAGCATGTCGTGCATCTCAACTGAAGTCTCTGCATGGATTGGACAACTACATCAGTGATGGAATGGATGGTATTGGTACATTAAAGAAATCTATTTCCAGTCTCGCTATGAAAGGTCTTTCAGAGATTAAAGTTACTGAAATCTAGAAAATGCTAGAAACATTGAAGGTACATCTTAAGAATGAGTTCAAAAGTCACATCTCCCCATCTAGTGACTGCAGTCATCACTGTACCCAGTTTGCATTGTCCGAAAAGGGAAGTGATCATGTGCATAATACAAGCTTTCAGTTGTGTGAAACTATGTTTCATATGAAATTGGAAATTGTTGATCTCATAAAACATACAACTTTTAACAGCACTCAAGACAAAGAAGAAACAAACCACGATTTTGAGTTGGCAACAGAAAAGATTTGGGCATGGAGAGATCAAACAATGAGAACAGTGAACCAGGATCTGTGCAGAGATAATATCATTCAGAACCTACAGGTACATATTGTACAAGAAGTGATGATCATTGCTTACTGGGCAATGGAGTATTTACCACAAACTTTTCGTGAAACACAGTCCGAGTGGTTTAACGAGCAGGGTATCAGATGGCACGTGATTTGTGGGATTCTTTGTCAGGCTCAGTTGGGTACATCCCACTAATTATTTTTAGAATCGGTAGGAGAAGAAAGTAGTGCAGAAAAAATTAGATGTTCCTTAATTTGCAGACTTGCATAAAAAAAATTGGGCAGATGTACTGAGCTGAGCCTCACAAGCTTGGCAAATGTAATTTTTCAAGAAGATCAGCCGAATTATTTTGTGTATCATAACGCCTGTGAGAACTCTGAAATTCCCCTACTTTCACTTTCATTTTTAGGGGTTCCCGCAGACAGACGCATTTTGCCAGAAAAAAAATCTGACATGCCACCTCGAGATTTTAGCGAAGGAAAGACAAGTTGATGTGCTTTGATTTGAGGGGCACTCACTACTGATCGAAAATTAGGGACATCGCTATGAGAAGAAACGTTAACATTGTCGCCAATGGGGAAAAAAATTAGTGGACTGTACCCAGTTAACAACAGAAGAGAAAGAAGACTAAAAGAACATTGAGATAGTTTCCATATTGTATCTTGTTGAAGAGAGTAAGCAAGGATGACACTCAGTCAAATTTTCAACAATGCTTTCAAAGTCCATCCATCCACATCTAAGGAATGCATACATCAGATATACTGTATACAGGGGAAATTTTGCCCCCGTTTTATTTTCGTCCCTTTCGTCCTCTTCTTGATTGGGCAAATTTAAAACTGCGAATTCAAATAAAATAGTTTAATTTCTTAAACTGAACTGTGAATGGGCGAATCTAAAAAGGGGCAAAATTGTTTGAAAGTACAAAAGGGCGAAAATAACACGGGGCAAAAATAACCCTGTGTACAGTAATGCGGGTTGTAACCATTCCTGACCAATACTGTCTTTCTCTGAAAATTCTGCAATGAATTGCCACTATTTGTAAAGCAGTGTAATTTTAGTGAAGCACAATCTGGCAAAGACGTGTGTGACTCGCAAACAGGGTCCTGCAGGCTTCACATGCTGAATTACATCAATGAAGGTCATGACATCACAAACACTTTGCAAATGAAGGAGGCACTTTAAAGTCATTGTGGTATAAGAAACACCTATGTTTCCATTGTTAGCTAAACATCACCTAATGATACACAGCCAGTACTTTTTGGGTCGTTGAAGCATTTTCAGATCTCAAGTATAACAATTTCAGCTTTCAAGATGAAGGTCTTAGGGCTTACAAAGCTTATGGAATTTGGGAGAGAGTTGATAAATGCTTCAGATATTTCCAGGATTTCTGAGCAACTGTCATTAGCAGATGAAAAGTTGGTAAGATTTATTTAAATAACTTTGAAGAATGTTATCAATCAATACTTTTTGTTCAAGATTTTGCTGCAAATTGTTATAATGATGGTATTTTAAACGTATGAATTACATTTCCATAGGTTTTTTTCTGACCCAAAACAACCAGATTTCAAAGCAGTATATAAAAGGGGGAGCACAACCAGAGACAACTTTTCTTGCATTGAACCATATTGTATTAGGGTGTTTAAAAAAGAAAATGAACTGAATCAGCATCTTGCTGTTAGTAAGCATGTGTATGATGAACAACTGAATCAACCTTTATCCTGCTACGCTGTGGAAATCTCAGAATCCATTTTTTTGCTGAATGCCCGATATATGCATTAAAAAGAGAAAAAAGCTTCTCTCCAAAGGTGAAGAACTATTTAACAGTATTAT